TAAAAAACATTCTAACATGACCTCTATGGACATATCATAACATGAAACATAAGAAAATATGATGACTATGGCTACGATTATACACGTCATAATAATAATATTAAACATCCTGTCTGCTGACAGTCATCCACTTTTCTATCTAGTTATCCTTGACCATAAGCATCGTGCAGTAACTCATGAAAATGACTAAGCATTTAACAGCCTGAGCTAGACATCCTGTCTACTCTAAAACATTTCTAACACAAAGTATCTAACCCATATCTATCTGACTAAAAATACCTAACATGGTAAACCTGATAACAAATATTTTTATATCCAATTTTTATGGAGCTAATTTTATTTATTTATTGTTGTATTTCTGATCATGAGGTGTATGTAAATACAATAGTCTCTTTTTTTCTCACTTTGCTTTGGTCTCAACAAACTTGTGGTAGCTCCTTACCTGCTAAAACCTCCACTATGTTAATAATAATATACAGAATATTAATTAATTAATATTAAGGTTTTCTACTCTCAGTACATGTACAACTGTAACACATAACTGAGGTTATGGAAAAATTGTGGTTGTGATACAAAAAAGATGATGAAGATGAAGATTGGCATAGATTTTAATATATATTGTGACCAGCCAAACTGTTATATATGAATAAAATGCTTATGGACGCTGGGCGAACCTAGGGATGTGTTAGGATCGCTCTGGTAGGGAGGTGAGAGTAAAAAATGACGAACCCAGGTAGCTGACTTCGGTGCAAGAAGTGCTCTATTTATTTACAGTGACAATAAATATGTGTACAACCAGGTGAAGGAATATGGAGCAGAACCGGGTGTCGAGCGGCAGTCATGGAAAACATACAGTCAGATGATAAGATGATAAGGAGGAGGCCGGGCTGCGGACACTAGGATTCACTCCTGGACTGGTCGTGGTGGTTGGTTGCTGAGGGGACAAAGTCACAGAAACAGTTAATGGGAGACTATGCATCGACCTGCGTGGTGGAGTGATGTGGAGTTGAGGAGGTCCGTGGTCCGGAGAAGCGATAGCGGCGGGGAAGATAAGACATGGGGCACAAGGCAGGAACGGAGCTGGGATAAAGAACATGAGCAAATACATATAGTAGACAAAAATAATAGATTGGCATAGAAACGGGCTTGTGTGTAGAAAGAACTGGCAGGGAAGTGGACGATGAGCACGGTATAAATAGGAAGAAACTAATCAGGTGCAGCTGGACGTGAAGCAGGTGTGTCAGAAATAGAAATCAGGGGTAAAGGAGCTAAAATAGAGGGAGAGAAGGGAGAGAGGCAGGTGCAGCCGGGCAAACCTGACAGGATGAAGCTTAGAGATATTTATTTTGCTAATTCCTGCAGCCATCTGCTAGCAGTGTTCTTGGCGTACAGCACTGAGGAAAAATAAGTAAATATCAAATGTTCTGTATACATTAACTTTTTTTACACTTAAATACATTAACTTTTCCATTACATTTTTCTTTTATTTATAAGCTTTATCTTGCTTTATGTAAGGTTAACCATTCCTTTACATTTTCCTCACTAACGAGGTAAAAAGCTCCCGAAATAGAAAAACTGTTGCATGACATAAATTGTCTTAGCTTTTGAAGTCCTTGGACAAGGGACGAGACATAGTGTAATTTTGCAATATTATTATTTGCACAGCCTTGTTAACAAATTGTGAAATCAGGTTTTCAGGTTTAAGCTTACAATTTTTTACCATTTAATTCAGTTTAAGATACTTTATTTGTGCTTCAAGGGGAAATTTGAAGTGACAAGGCCACCAACAAAGTACATATAGACAGCTAACCTACATATTAGATTAGATTAGGTTCAACTTTATTGTCATTACCTATGTAGAAGTACAAGGCAACGAAATGCAGTTTAGCATCTAACCAGAAGTGCAATAACAGCAGTGCAGAGTGCACAGTATCTACAGTATGAACAGTCAGAACTAATTTACAGATTGATATGTACAATTGATATTTACAGTAAGATGTGTAAGGTAATGTACGATATACAACAGATTATGCATTCAAATTACAAATAATGGACAAAGTACTCCCGTGGACCCACCACCTGCAGGAGGATTCGTAAGGTGCTGGTGCACAGTGGATCGGGCAGCAGATGAAGGCAAGGGCCCCAACGACGCGATCTCTGGACACGGAGACTAGCCCTGGGGACATGGAATGTCACCTCGCTGGTGGGGAAGGAGCCCGAGCTTGTGCGGGAGGTTGAGAGGTACCGGCTTGAGATAGTCGGGCTCACCTCCACGCACAACTTGGGCTCTGGAACCTTACTGCTTGAAAGAGGCTGGACTCTCTACTACTCTGGAGTTGCCCATGGTGAGAGGCGGTGGGCTGGTGTGGGTTTGGTTATAGCCCCCAGCTTAGCCGCCATGTGTTGGAGTTTACCCCGGTGAATGAGAGGGTCATTTCCCTGCGCCTTCGGGCCGGGGATAGGTCTCTCACTGTCGTTTGTGCCTATGGGCCGAACGGCCCATAACTTCGAGGATCTCCTCAACCCCAGCGTCATGTCTTTCGATGAAGAAGCAGGGGCCACGAGCTCGGACGTGGACTCGTCCATCACCCAAGCTGAAGTCACCGAGGTAGTTAAGAAGCTTCTCGGTGGCAAGGCACCGCGGGTGGATGAGATCCGCCTTGAGTACCTCAAGTCTCTGGATGTTGTGGGGCTGTCTTGGCTGACACGCCTCTGCAATGTTGCATGGCAGTTGGGGACAGTGCCTCTGGACTGGCAGACCGGGGTGGTGGTCCCTCTTTTCATGAAGGGGGACTGGAGGGTATGTTCCAAATATAGGGGATCACACTCCTCAGCCTCCCCGGGAAAGTCTATACCAAGGTACTGGAGAGGAGAATTCGACCAATAGACGAACCTCGGATTCAGGAGGAACAATGCGGTTTT